AATACAAACACAAAATAAATATAAAATTCCCACCCCTACTGCCTGACCCATGAAGAATAGTAACCCAATTCGATGTTGGGTTGAGTAAGAAGTTCATTACATTCATGTTTGTGTGATCATGTTTTATGCATATTTGTTTGTTTCGGATATTCGCGCAAAGCCATACAACGGTTATTTGCCCTAACAGTTCCTAATGTTGAAGTAATAGATAGAGGGAGGAAGCTATTCGACGGCATATACCACCAACTATTGGGCTATTCTATTCAAATATAGAGTTTACAACGGTTATTTACCCTAAAAGTTCCTAATATTGAAGTAATAGATAGAGGGAGGAAGCTATTCAAGGGTATACACCACCAACTATTGGGCTATTCTATTCAAATATAGGGTTTACAACGGTTATTTACCCTAACAGTTCCTAATATTGAAGTAATAGATAGAGGGAGGAAGCTATTCAAGGAGATACACCACCAACTATTGGGCTATTCTATTCAAATATAGGGTTTACAACGGTTATTTACCCTAACAGTTCCTAATATTGAAGTAATAGATAGAGGGGGGAAGCTATTCAAGGGTATACACCACCAACTATTGGGCTATTCTATTCAAATATAGGGTTTTGGCTGTCACTCTTGTAACAGACTTATAGCCACAAAGTATAGAATGCGATTTTGCACCAATGAAGCTCGAGCCATGGACCCTCGGAGATCAACAGTCCAGCACGTTAACCATTAGGCCATACCCGACCACGATAACTAGAAACTACTTCAAAGTAGATAAAAAAAGTGTTAAGTAAAAATGCTTATAGATTAGTATTGATATTTTTTACAAATTAAAAGTCAGAATAATAGTTATGAAAGCATAAAATCTTATATCCGATGAACAAAATACTAACAGATGCAATTTTTGGTAAATTATTAAACGTGAGCAAGTTTCAAATTTTAGTAAATTCATTTGGTCTCGAAGGTTGAGCACGTGGTTTACTATCTCATTTTAGTGTTTATAGTATAAAAAAAATCAGTGAGGTCTAAAACGTCATGTAAAATCAAGTTTATGGGTTAAAAAAGTCTTTTCAATCACTTCTAAAGAAAAAATAATTGTTTCATAATTTATGAAAATAAACCTTATGAAGCGCGAGATATTTATTTTATGCCTAAATTTCTATGACCAACTATGTATTACCTAAAGTATTCGGGAAGGCAGTGTTTCGCAGTGAGGTTATATTTTAATAGGATAATGACCCCCCCCCCCGCATTAACTAAAGCCTTGATTTTACAATAACATTTAGTGTTAACCTTTGGTACACACCTAGTGAAATAGATCGCAACTTCTTCTGTAAAGTAGTTTTAAATGAAAGATATTTCAGAGATTCGTAGCGTTAGATAGGCAGCATTCCAAAATGTTAAATGTAATTCAATTAGAGTTAAGTCAGGGCTTTGGGTTAGTCAGAGCAGTTCTAGGTGTTATTAACCTCAAATTACTGCTGGGCATTACATGTGGTATGTCAAGTATATTATCATACCAAAAAAGGTATAGTCCCTTCCTATAGAATGCGGTCAATGAAGTATTGTACAGAATCTCACCATACGATAAATCGTTAATCGTTAAACAAGCCTAAACCAGCTAAAACAAACACATCATAATTTTACTTTCACTACTTTTCATAAACGGGATTATACAGTCACATCCAAAATGTTCTTATAAGTCCGAAGCCAGTGTATTAGAAGAAAACCAATAACGAGATTCACTGCTTCATTTTTAATTTTTATCAACCTTAATTTTCACGCCCAAAGCACCATGAGAACCGACGCTTTACACCCAAAGGTGTGATGAGCTCATGGGCTGCAGTCTGTTTCATTAAATTCCGCAGCATAGATCTCCCGGTGAACAGTATCCTTGCTAACCTAAAGTCTTCAGCTCTAGTTAGTCCTCGGTGACGGATTAAATGTTAGATGTGTGGTTTCATTTCAGAACATACTGGAACGAAATTTCATACTATCACACTCAGTCGTCTTACAGTTCTTCGGCACAATATCAGCTGAAGATATAAATATGAGTAAGCTAGGATATCTCAAACACTTGTAACATCAATGCTCCAACGAATAACCAGTCCTTTTTGAAAGTACGTAAACTGCCTTCTTCCTAGCATCTTGAGTCCAGAAGGCTGTGTTTCACACCTTTATAAATCCAACAATGTAATACACCAAATGTAGTACATTTGCTGTTGTATTAAAGTTTTTCTTCATTACCCATTCAAGCCGTCTCCAGCCATTATTAATGTAATACACCATTGAATTGATATACAAATTGAATGAGGATGGCCCATTATATCCTAGGGATATGATAACTTAATACTTCGGGTAATTGAATGTATTAGAATTTGAAACAACTATTTGACAGTGAAAGTTCCTTTTCCTTTCTAAAGACAAACTACAACAATTAAAGGTGATTAAAATAAACTAAAAAAAGATTGTTTTACAGTCAACTACATAATAGCTATCTTTCGAAAAAGGTATCTTCTTCTGACATCTAGTTGGTTGGTTGTAATTAAGCAC